GCTGGAGAATTCTGGGAGCTGAAGTCCACAAGTCTTAAACTTGCCAAGTTTGGAGACCTCTGCAAAATAGACTAAACGCGCTTGTCCTATGATTCAGTTTCCTCGGGAATTAATTCTCGGGGCTTAGCGTGAGTTTCTCGCCTCTTATCTTATCGCGAGCAACCCCAGAATTGGGGGCTTGGTATTTAACGAAATACTAACTGAACATAGACGGAATGCTTTTTCGCATTCCATTTATTATAACCAGCTATGAGCGATAAAATCGGGGATTAAGAATTTGGGAGATCAATCCGTTGGTCAGCTTGGAGTCCGGGAACATTTTCGGCCACTAAACTCGCCAAGCTCTGCAGGAAAGGAAAGGAAAGGAAAGGTCGATCCCCGTGATCAACTGTGGACTTGTGTATTTTTTTCAGGACTTAAGTAGCCAAGGGACAAGAAGCGACCAATGGAAAAACTTTGGGGGTAGTTAGCAATGTCTAGTGAGACTGGGAACGCAGCTTGCGATCCCCAATTATCCTGTCAGAACTGAATTTTCACCCACTTGTTCCTCCAAATTGCCTTTGACACTCATTTGCAGATGTCTGTCGGCTTTTTTTTTTTTACCATTTGATCTCCTATCACTTTCACCCCACTTTCTACGTAGAAGGAAGAGGTGAAATTAAAAAGAGGTGGAAAAATAAAACTAGGAAAAGCGCACAGGTATCTCTTATTTCTATCGCAATGAAACGATTCCTCGATTATACCGGGTTAATGGATGGATAGATGGATAGGGCATTCTCTGCTGAAAGGGTGGACTGGGCTTCGCGCTTTCTCACCTGCAACTCAGGTGTGTGGTTTTTGAACAATGAGAGAAAGAGTGAGGGAGAGAGATAAAAAAGCGTTCTTTGTCAAGAAAAGCTGAGAGAAGTTTCTAACGAAGCAATAACGAGCCACTGTATTCTCTATTTGTCTTTCAAAAGTCGTTTTCCCACTGTCCTAGGCCCACAAGTAAATCATTTTAGGATGGACTGGCACCTATGTTTTTAATGTTTGGCTTGATTTTCTGCATGGTTACTTAAAAAAAAACACCACTGAATTCAGTGGACTTACTTCTGAGCAGTTGTTCTAAGGGTTACTTAAGCTGCAGTCCTAACCTTACCTTTTTGGAAACATTTCTTACTGCTTATCTTTAGATCAATCAATGCATTTAAATAAATAATATACGCATTTGGAAAAAAAACCCTTTGTTTTTACAGCTTTTTGCAGCTTTCAAGGAATGGTGATGGTGGGGGCAATAGTTTATCTGCAAACAATACTTTAATATCGCTCTTCCTTTTCATTTCAGAGCTGCAACTGAGTTTGAAAGCAGAATGGTTTTAGAAAGCTGGGGCTGGCAAGCAGAAAGGCTACAGCTTGAAATGATAAGATTCAACTTAATGACTCCCCAAATTGTCTTGAGATAGGCAGCCCAAACTGTAAACAAAGGGAAAGTACATTATTTGAAAGAGGAAAAAAAACGAGGTTTCACCTTTTTTAAAAAAGTGAAGGGGCTAGCCATGTATATATTTTTTTAAAGATTCATTTTATAAGTTAATGGGCAGTAAGAAATTCAACGTTTCCACCAGAGCTTCCGCCCAAATCTTCAGCAATTCTGAGCTGCTCGCAGGCTTCCTACACTTCCTCCACCCCACCCCAAGTTGGGAGTTCTGAAATCGTGAAAAGCCCCCCAACTAGGGGTCTCATGCCGTCTGGGGAACAGGGGGTTACTGCCGTTGTTCTAGCGCCCCCGCTGTCAGTCTGCAACCAGCCCTGGGTGGATCTCGAGGAACCCTTTCCCTTTTCTGTGTTTTGCAGTGTCAATCACAGGCACATATTGCTTTCCCCTCCCTCACCTCCTTCGTTCCCCCCCACTCCCCAACTACCATTTAGTAACATCCCAGCTCTGAGAGTCCGCCTCTGAGTGGCTCGCAGCAATCTGTCAACTGAGCCGGGCAGCCACCTCACAACAGATCCGGTTACTTTTGATTGACAGCGTCACCATGGCAAATAATTTGATTAAAACTATTGTCTTCTCCCCCTTGGCAGTCCCCGAGTCAGATAACCGGACCAATCACTGCGCGGCTAATCACTTTTTCATGCCAGTTTAGAACAACATTTGGAAGGAGAGAGAGAGGCAAGGAAGAGCAAAAGGAAAGGGGAGGGGAGGACGGGCGGGGGGAGGGGAAAGAAGACAAGAATCGGCAACGAAAAGAAAAGAGAAAGGGAAGAGAGGAGAGGAGGAGGAGAAAAAGAAGGAAAGGGGAAGCCGGGATTTAAAGGACTTGATTCCATGTAAGCGATCCTATGGCAGAAAGGAGGGGAAGAGAGAGAGGGAGCGAGGAGCGAGCGAGCGAAAGAGGAACTTGCGAGCCCGGCCAGGGGGTGGGGAGTGGGAAAGTTCCACTCTTGCAAGCGCCCCTTCCCTCGCACAATAGAGGCGCCAAGTTTGACGGTCGGAACTCGGGGACTTACAAACCAACCCGGAGCCCCAGAGGCCGGGCGTCGGCGCGGGCGCTGCGTGGGAGCCTCCCTCGCCCGCGAAGCTTCTCCGGCTCCATGGGCGCCCCGGCCGGGACAGGAGCAGCCGCGCTGACCTAGCCCCAGGGCTTTGCGCTCGCGGAAGGCAGCCGCTCGGGCGCGCCGTGGTTGGCTGCTCTCTCGCGGAGCCCTTGCCTCATTGGCGCCGGGCGTCGCTGGCTCGCCCCCCCCCCCCCCCCCCCCCCCCCCCCCCCCCCCCCCCCCCCCCCCACACACACCCCAGGCGGTGCCTGCGGGGCGCTGGGTCCGGACGGGTGCCCCCTTTCGGCCAGGGCAGATGCGATAAGAGAGCCGGCGGCGACGGCAGGAGGGCCTTCCCGGGCGCGCCACCATGTCCATGCTGCCCACTTTTGGCTTCACCCAGGAGCAAGTGGCCTGCGTGTGCGAGGTGCTCCAGCAAGGGGGTAACATCGAGAGGCTGGGCCGCTTCCTCTGGTCGCTGCCGGCTTGCGAGCACCTCCACAAGAACGAGAGCGTCCTGAAGGCCAAGGCCGTGGTGGCTTTCCACCGAGGCAACTTCCGCGAGCTCTACAAGATCCTGGAGAGCCACCAGTTCTCGGCGCACAACCACCCCAAGCTGCAGCAGCTGTGGCTCAAGGCGCACTACATCGAGGCCGAGAAGCTGCGGGGGCGACCCCTAGGGGCAGTCGGCAAGTACCGGGTCCGCCGCAAGTTCCCCTTGCCCCGCTCGATCTGGGATGGCGAGGAGACCAGCTACTGCTTCAAGGAGAAGAGCCGGAGCGTCCTGCGGGAATGGTACGCCCACAACCCTTATCCGTCCCCCAGGGAGAAGCGGGAACTGGCCGAGGCCACCGGGCTCACCACCACCCAAGTCAGCAACTGGTTCAAAAACCGGAGGCAGCGGGACCGGGCGGCGGAGGCCAAAGAAAGGTACGAGTAAGTAGAGCCGTTGCACCCTTCCGCTACTCTGCAAGGGGAAAATGCTCTGCTTCGGGGACGGTCGGGAAGGCTTAGCCCGAAGTGCGCTGCAGTGGCCCGAGGGGGAGGGGTAAAGCTCTCTTCCCTTCCGAGCTAACCCTCGGGGGCTCGGGGCTGCGATTAAGAAAGGCACCCGCAGCCTGGGAACGATGCAAAGGAAGGGAACCGCAGGGCTTCTCTCTCTGCGCTGAAACTTTTTCTTTTCTTTCCTTTTTTTAAAAAAAAAAAGTTTTGGAAAAGTTCGCTTAGGGAGGGGGATGTCTAAGGGAATCGGTTACCGCAGGGACCAGTTTGTTTTATTCGAGAGCAAAATCGGGCTGGGGCCAAGATAAATAGTTCTGATTCGACTTGGATTTCAAGCCACGTCTTCGGAAAAGTTAGCCTATACTAGATACAGAAGTTAAGTTTTCAATGAACGGGAGTGGAGAATTAGAAAGAACTTTCTTGAAGGGAAGCCAACTGGCATCGTTCCTTTTATCCGTGTCTCTCATTTCCTAGTCTAACACCACAAAAGACAAGAACACAAAAGACAAGAACTGTCAAATTTGCCAGTTGAGGCTATTTTTGCCAGCTCAGAAGTCAAACCCATACAGATCAAAAGTAGCCTTTCGAATTTCACTTTAATTGTTACAGCGGGTTTAGTAAGAGCAATGCCCCAAAATCTATAACTGAGAAATAAATGGATCACCATCATCCAAGATGTCACAAGCGCTGGTTTGTATGGGGGGGAAAAACTTATTTAGCCAATTGTCAATAAGCAAAAAAAATAGGTGTTTTAATATCTTTTTATCTATATCTAAATAGTACTGAATGTCATTTCACTGTCGGTGTATGCATCCTGCTTTTCAAATGAGGCAAAGAGGCCTCCAGCACTGGATGGGATACTGTATTCTTTCCAGGAGGTGCTTGTGAGTTGAATAGTGTCTAGGGTTCACTCCTAAACCTCCAACTGGCTTTTTTTTTTCAACTGCCTTGAGTTTTTCTTAGATGTCTGTTTCGTGGGCTGTGAGGTGTATATTTGAATAAGTGGTCTCTAGACTTTGGTTGTTGTTTTTTTTTAATCTAACTCCATTCTTTAAAAACACACCCGCTTGCACACATTTTCTCGAAAATAAATCCCAGGAGTTTCAGTACCGTTTAAAGTTTGACCCTATAGCTGCTTATCTATCCGGATGCAAGTTCCTTTTCACTTCATGAAGACTAGCTTCCGTGTCACTAGGAAGGTTGGTGGAGCTTCTAAACATTAGATCAAGGGATAGTGGGTCGAGAGCCCCCAAACTTCCATACTATCAACACAAACAAGTTATATTTATTTCTAAGAAACAATGCAGATCTTCAAGTTCTATAGGAAAACTGTGTGTTTCTTCTCCCTTCCCGCACGGCTTTTTCTCCCCCTATTTCTGTTCCTTTTTGCTGAACTAGCCCTTCTAAAGCAAACGCCTGGGATCTTCCCACTGACAGGAACCCTGCCTGGACCGATTGCTTTTAAGATTTTAAGACTGCTCCCAGAATCACCGGTGGCTAGACGCTGGGCCTTCCTTTTGGGTCCTTTGGTACTTTCAGTGTGCACCTAGATGGTCCCAGACCAAAATTACCTTCTGGGAGATGATTTTGTCCAAAATCATCCCTGGATTCTTGGTTTGATAGATTTGTTTTTTTCCTCCAAGATCTAATGTCTGGGATTCTGAGATTCTGCCAGAAAGAGAGAAAGACACCCCAGCCTCCCCCAAGACGCCACTTCTCCTGAAGGCAGTAAACCAGAGGCCCCTCTCCATAAATATTGCAGAACGAGGAGAGTTTTATGCTGAAAAAAATGGAGGGGGATAAAGTCACTTAGCGACACAACTGGATTAAGGAACTGTTGTGTTAAGGAAGTCTGAATTATTCCAAAACATCCAGCGGGTCAAGCAGAAGAGTTCCCAGACAAGGCGGCTTGCTATTCTGCAGATTTCCAAAGCCTCTTCCATGTGAACCCACTTGTGTCCTGGATGCCCTTCTTATTGAAAAGCGATGAGAAGGATTTCTCTGGCGTTCATTTCGGCCCCGTGTTTCAGAAATAGCTTCTTTCATCTAGGTTAGACTTCTACAGTAAGAGCTGTACCAGAAAGCCAGGTAATGAAAGTTTCCAGAGTTGTGCCAGCTCATTTTGGGAGAGCAGCCTCTACTTCTTTGAATCTTGTAGTTCTTGCAGCTGTTTTCCCAGGGATTGCCTTGAGGACTACTGTTTTGATAAAGTCTCTGTCTCTCTCTCCTTCTCTCCCCATTCTCTCCCCCCCCACCCCACCACCACTTTATAGCTGAAATTGATATGAAAGTCTTGTAAAAACTGAATTAGAAAACCAGGTGCAGGCAGGAAGAGAAAACTTTGCATAATACCATCAGACTACATTAACTACTCTGCAGCCAAAAAAAAGTGCATCTAAATAGTAGGAGTTTGGAGGGTTGCTGTTTGATTTTCAGGAGGCCCAATGCAATTAAGAAAGCCCTTCACACACGCAGAGAGGGCAAATGTCAGTTCTTCTACAATAACCTACCTGAAAAGAGATGAATTTGACACAAAGGTTTCCAGGTCCCTGGCTACTTTCATTGTTGGCACCCTCCTATTCAGTAACTAAAGGCAAAGATACTTTCCTAATGAGCCAAATATTGGTGGAAAATCAAATGCAAAGTACCAGCTCCCACCAATACCTTGGGTTAATAAAAAATATATATTAACTGCTTGGTTTATTGGATCTAGTCTCTGTACTGCAATCCACAGTTGCTGACCAAAAATCTCGGTAGGGTTTTTCCTGAGAAAGTTGACTGCAGTGCTGGGTTGGACAAATAAGCAAAAGTCGATTACACAAGGGGGGGTAGCAATCACTCATCTAAATAAATAGCCCCACATTCCCAGAAAAGAGGCACGGCTTTGGGAAGTGAGACTGGTAGAATAGGGTCCTAACTACCCTAAGAAACCACCATTTAACACCTGCCGATCCTGCACATTTTAGAAAAGAGGGTTGTAAAACTTTAGATGCAGTTGCTGAAATACACCAGCAAATTACCAGGTCGACTTTCACTACTGCTGATGGACTTGGCATCCAAATGGGTTAGAATGGCAAAACTTTGTGGGTCTCTGCTTCTTGAGAAGACTTTACACACAAGAATACAGACCGAGTCCTTCACTGAGTGGCCAAATATGGAACACCTTAGCGATGGGGGAAGGAATCGCAGGTGGCTATCGAGATTCAGACAGGGAAGGTTTCTGTTTACAAGCAACAAAGCTGGTTCACCTCCAACCTCTGCAGATTTGAACCTAATGTCTCTTCGTGCACGTACCCAGGCAGGGCACCTTCCCATCCTATAAATAACTTGACCAGTTGCAGAACTTTCAGGCCGGGATTCCTATCCACTGAGATCCAGGAGAGCAGAAGCTTCTTCTGGGCAACCATTTCCTAGCCACCTTGGTTTACGTGGGTGCAGCCTTCCGTTGAGAAGGTTACTGAAAGCGACGGCCTGTAAACGTCGCGTATTTCTTCCGGATTGTTAATAAACAGACTTGAAATTAGAGATCTCGAAAACTGGAAACACGGGGAGTGGGCTGGGCTAGAGGGGAGAAATGGCATTGCTTTTAGTTCATGGCTCTGGCAATCGATCCAGGGGATCCCGAGGTGTGTGCCATTGGGTTCCCTTTCCCAAATCTGGAAGCTTGAAAGGAGATCGAGCTGGGTAGCATTTAACGCGAGCATAAAGAGCCTCTTGATCCGAAAGCCAATTGTAAAGCACTGGATCGGATTCAAGGCATTAGGATCGAATTCACGCCAAGCATTTCCCTAGATGGACTTGAGCTACTTTTTTTTTTTTTTTTTGGTAGTGGAAGAGGAGAAGGGCTGCCCGGGCTGACTTGGTTTTGTTGAGACATCATCTTTAATTCCTACGAGCACCAACCGGAAGGCAGCAGTGCGGGCGCACAGGTTGGCTAACGAAAAAGTAGAGCAAAATGTTTCCCTCCCCCAGTAGGAGCCAATTCATTGCCGGGTCCTCAAAGCAGGATTAACAAAGTGATTTCTGGTTTTGAGAAGGTCGCAGGCATCGACCCAAAGCCCAGATGCCTTCCCTTGACCAGAGGTTCCTTTCGTCTGAATAAGGACGGTAGAGAAGCGTCCTTACTCAGAACTTACTTACTTGGGTAGTTCATAAAAGTCTTAGCCAAGTGCTAAGACTACAGTGATATTGGTCTGACTCTAACTAGTCAGAAGACCACTAGTCAGAAGACCATGTCAGAAGACCACGAAAAGTGGCACTTAGACCGCAACCCCGACTTTTTTTAAAAAAAGAACTAGGGCATAAACCAGGATGCAAATTTATTTACATTTAATTAAAATGAAAGATAGTTGGTAGGCTTCCTCTCTGGTCTGTAATTTTCCTTACGGTGTACGACCTCCCTCGTTTCTGTTACATAAGAATTAACTTTGGTAACACAACCTTTGAAGGTCAGGAGTGGGGAGGAAGAGATGCACCCGAGGCTTCCTGGGGTCTTGGATAGAAAATAGGGGTACAGTATTAGAAGGCGCATTTAATGGGAATTTCCCCTCTGTTTAATCAGAGAATTTGACTTTTCGATCCTGTTTGAAACACTGCCTGAAAACTCCAATGAATTGCACCTGGCCTTTCTAAGCTCATCAGAAAGCTCCCTTTGGTGCATATGATTAACATGAAAGACTCTGAGGACAGTCTTATAATAAATACAAAACGTAATAATAATACTTATTATTTATGTGTTATTATTATTATTTCGCTTAAAAGGAAGCTCTCCTGAAAGTGTTGGCGTTTACTTTTGAGTAAAGATACCAGATCCGCATCAAATGGTAAACGACAGCTTTTTTCTTCTTAATATCAGTGCAGTCAAATTTAAGGCTGTTTTCGCTGTTGCCACGACGGTCACCCGCTGCTTAATACCGATATCTGGACAACTGCGCTGACCTGAACTGAGCATCAAATGGGACCGGACTCCCTTTCTTAGCCACCTTATACTGAAAGTGATTTGGATCCAATTAATTTGGTTAATATCAATAAGAAGTCCCGTTTTTAATTCTTTTGTTTTTTAAATGGGATTCTTTGGGTTTAAAAAAAAAAGTACAAAGCGTTACATTCAAATAAACGTAATCTCAGTATCCCCACAGGTCTTTAAAGAGAGATGCAGTGGAATATTTTCAAACTCGGGAGCCCTCTGTGTCTAAGGCAGCGTCTTCATAAGTTGGGAAAAGCTTTTTACTTAGACGTCGGCATACTCAGGAACCGCCATCAGCCGCCTTTGAGATCAACCGCCATACAGATGACCTCCAAGGGACTGGATTTTGCCATCTCCTTTTTTGTTGTTCAAAATCAGCCTCAGTCAGCTCAACTAAAGACATTGCCTTCAAAATCTGAAGTACATTTTTTTTTAAAGAAAGAAGCTTCTCCAAGAGCGGGTGTATGAGCAGCATCTCATGAATTGGAGGGGAGTGCTATTTGGAAAAGGTGGTCTTTTCTACCGGATTTTAAGTTCGGGCCAGTAGCCTTTCTTGGGAGCTGCCCGTTATTGGCTGGAACTAATGATTTCCAGCTGAACCAAAAAGTTTCAGTAGCTGTGTGTGTTTATCCCTCTTTTCATTCCACTTTGTTATGATTTTTCCCCCTTATTCTAAAGACACCGTGCTTTTGCTTTTTTCAGAGGCTTGTGCCACCTGAAATATTAAGTATTTTATGGTGGTGGAAACTCACGAAAATTTGCTTGATTGGAGGTGTAGCAGAGATAATGAAGCGAATATTTCATGCACTTCACAAAACAAGTTTTCGTGTAAAGCTGGAATCCTACAAAACGGGTCAGAAACCTCCTAGAATCTAGACCAGGTTCAGATAAGGCTCTGAGCCCCGACCCAGCGTGTTTTGGGACCCAGACGATCTGATGGGTTGGTGATTCAATGTGTTGGATGAGCCCAGAGAACAGATTCAGTAAACCGTGGTTAACTTACAAGGGAGCCACTTGGACGAACGCAACCTCTTAACTTCAGTCTGCTCGCGTTAAAAGGCATTTATACCCTTTGACCAAAGCGGCCTGGAACTGGAATTGTTTCTCTACACACAAGATATTTCTTTTTGACATAGCAGCTCGGTTTGGAACCGCTGACGTTCGGATATAAAAACTGGACCTCGCCGGCCCTCTTTGTAAGAATTGCGGAGATAAATCGAAGAAGAAATCCCCCGGTGGCCTTACTGCAAACTTGGAACCCTCCGGAGTAACCGCCAAAGACTTCTCTTCCAGGGTCTAAATCACCTACCAACCGGCCTCCGTCCAGCTTTCCCTCCCTCATTTCTTCCTCGCTTTGATTTTGCTCGCTTTGGTGAAAGAAAGAAAGTTGTTTTATTTTGCCGTACTCTCTCTCCTAGGTCAGCCTCAAACTGACCCAAGATGTCCCCCAAAGAGCTGCAGGCGCAAGTTTTGCATCAACCCGATTTTGATTCCTCCCCTCCGCGTTTTTTTTTTTTAAACTAACAGCTAGGTCGCAGCAAATCTTTACATTGCCACTCTCCACTACCAACTTAAAGCCGAGGGCTGTCGGCGTCTTAGGGTTGCATCAGAGGAAAACGCAGCCGGGAAAAGCAAGCTGGCCTGGGCATTTATTTGCACTTCAGGCCTTTCCCAAGCGCGTGAAAAAGCTACTTCTTCAGGCTCCGTATCGAGAATCGGCGTTCCCCGTTTTTCAGAGGCCGCCGCAAACTTGGAAGAAGTCAAAACGAGCGAAGGGAAACGGATGACGGAAGTCGGCGGGCATTCGTTCTTGGAAGTGAGCATGCGCAAAGGATGCCATGCCGGAACTTAGCGTGGAAACAACCCTCTCGACCCAAGCGGCGTTAGGGAGTGGTGCAGATCTTAGATTAACCGCGAAAGCTGGTGAGGATCAATGTGGGTCTGCAAGAGAAGGGGGCCTTATGAGGGGCTAATACAAAGCGTTATAATTGTCCCCGGCAATGGCGTACTCCGTATATTTGAATAAGGCAAATAAACCCCGCGGCATCTTCCAATCTTCAAGAAGAGATTGGACTGCCATTTGTCAGAAATGGTGTAGGGTCTCCCGCTTTGGGGGGGGGGGATTGGACTAGACTCCCTTCCAACTCTGATTATCTGTTATTCATTACCTAATGTTCCCCGGTAGCGTTAGAGCCTTGCTCCTAGAACTTAGGCTCTCGGAGAGATTAATGGATTATATAAATGCCCCCGGGTCTGGGAGTGACTGCCAACCGAATGAAATGTTTAACCATTCTGTTCTAAGTTGGGTGTGAATCGCTTGGTGATTATCATTACTTTGCTGTTGTTGGTGGTTTTTTGTTTTTTTTTCATTCTCAATCCTTTTGGTAGAGTTGTGAATATGATTTATGACTCCCAGAGTAAATATTCTCAGTGGTAAAGGGCTGTACACGATTTATGGCCACAAACTGAGCCCAAAATTTCTGTGAGACATTTGTAAAGTGAGTTTTGCTCCATTTTATGACCTTTCTTGCCACAGTGAAGTTGAATCACTGTAGTTGTTAATAACATGGTTGTCAGGTAAATCGGGTTTCCCCATTGACTTTGCTTGTCGGAAGGTTATAGAAGGTGATCACATGACCCCAGGACAACCATCATAAAAATGAGTCATTTGACAAGTACCTGAGTTTTGATCATGTGGCCATGGGGATGCTGCAATGGTTGTAAGTATGGGGAAAAAAGGTCATAAGTCACTTTTTCCAGTGTTGTTGTTGTAACTTTGGTCACTAAATGAACTGTTATAAGTTGAGGACTACCTGTACTTACTTTCAGGTACCTGTCCACAGGATCCTAGGCCCATCTTGGCCTAGTTCTGTGTCTTCACTCTTACTGGGGACGTTAGTGAGAATTAGGGCTTGTGAGGTTGTCTGTGGTCAGCCCCTATGAAGACAATCTTCCCTCTCAAAAGTACTGCCTTTTGCTGGGCCAAGCCATCCTTACATATCTCCCTGCAGCATTTAATTTCCTGTTTACGTCCTGTGGTGGGGATGTTCCTTCCTCTCCAATAATTGGCAATGGCCCACCACAGCCATTTTGTCCTGGGCCACTGGACTGTCTGCCCACTTCTGGATGGACTTCACATGAACCAGTGAAAAAGAGTAGCTTTATTAACAAATGCACTGGTAGATTGATGAAAGAACGGCCTTTTCTCTATTTGTCAGGTTACTGATGGCCAGGTTACTTTCTTTTTTAAAACCCATGTAAATGGATAACAGTTCTGCCAGTTTTCCCTTGTAACCCAAGTAAAAGGGAGTGTTTTATTTCCCCCCTCACCCATGAGTATACATGCTGGATTGAGTGTGAGGGAAAGTCAAGGGAGAAGGGCTTGAAGTCTGTAGTGGAAGCCATATATCCTCAGAGACCCTTGCTTGGCACATATGGGGGTGGGGAACAGGGGAATCCACAAACCAGGGTCCATGTAGCCATCACCCAGATAAAGCCCTTGGCTGGCATGGCTGCCAAAGCTGAAGAACAAGATTTAAATCTAGACAACAATATCTAAAGCTAGCTCAAATTTCCCAAGAGTTTCGTCATGAGAGGCAAGCAGTTTACGGATGCCATGCCAAACAGACCTTAAGCTCAAGGAAATGCAGAGCCTTGCCTGCTACCTAGATGTATGTCTATTAAAAGAAAAACATTATTAATCTTTTAAGGAGATTGTTTATTATTTAGGTTTGGTAGGCTAGTTTCAGAATTCTTTTTTAAAAAAATGACACCTAACCAAGAGTGACTGGGTTCACACACAGTAATAAAGCATACTGAGGTTTGTTTGGTTTTGGCTTAGTATGTTGAGTGAAATGAACCATGGTTTTTAAACCATGTTATGTGGGTTAGAATTGTATGTGAACTTATTATTTATGACACATTCAACAAAGAAATATTAGAATGATGGTATAAAGTGAAATATAATTCCGCCACCAGCCTAGTTTACATCTAGCACCAATAAATAATGTAATTTGTTTGTTTTGGCTGTGTGAATCTAACGTTTGCGATGTTAAAGTGTAGTTTATATGGTTTAGTTATTGTGTGAACTCAGCAAATGTAGTTTATCCAATAAACTATGGTTAACACGAACAAATATAAACCCAGCTATGGCATAGTTTAGCTCCTCCAGCCCTCCACTGTAGTTCCCATCATTCACAGCTGATGAAACTTCTACATGCTACTGTTTCTGCCTAGCACCTTTTGAACGTTTAGGTCCAATCTCAAAGTTGCTTATGGGAAATTTAACCTAAGTACTTTCCTATTTATCTTATATCCTTTATTATAGCCTACTGTCTTAATTTGGGATAAAGCATTTAAAGATATATGCCCCCACAAAAAGGTGTCAGTGATTTTTTACCTGAAACATATTCTCCATGGCTCCTACAAGAGACATCCATAACAATTTGGGGGGAGGGGGGAGGGCTCATTAAAAAAAAAAACTCACATATTTAAGTTGAAGCAAATAAAAATGAAGTTATTCTTGTCCATAAATCACTTTGAAAGATTTTTTTAAATAGTGCTATTTTTTTTTTACAGTGCTATAAGCAGGTGGGGTGGGGGAAAAGGAACCATACCTATAGCTTCAGGTTGACCTGTGTATTATATTCTGTGCCTCTAATATGCTGTCTATGGGCAAATGGTGTCCCCTCACCCACAATATACTATTTCAGCAGCCTGTACTTTTATTAAGGATGGACATGAGGGAGGAATGTGGTGTTGTGTCTTTTTGCAATCTGATGTTTTTCTCTTGTTCTTTCTCCCATTCCCCACACCCCCCTTTTAGGGAAAACAATGAAAATTCCAGTTCCAATGGCCACAATCCACTTTCCTCCTCTCTCAACGGCAATAAGACAGTTTTGGGCAGCTCCGAAGATGAGAAAACACCTTCCGGCACCCCGGATCATTCCTCCTCCAGCCCTACTTTACTTCTCAATTCAAACCCAGGCTTACAGCCTCTCCACAGCTTGGGCCATCCTCAGGGTCCTAGTGCCATTCCAGTTCCCAGCGTGGACCCTCTGCACCATCACAGTTTGCAAGACTCCATCCTCAACTCCATGTCTTCAAATCTGGTCGATCTCGGCTCTTAAAAATATTTGCTGAACCTACCATGCTCTCTGAACCCAGCCTCTCTCCATCTGGGTTGTCCTCCTCCTCTTCTTTCATTCCCTCCCCCCACCCCCACCCCCCACTTAATTCCTCTGCTCCACAAACCAAGGATCTGAAACCTTGGAAGGATCTATAAAATAGATCTGTTATTTCCCTTTGGATCAATTGCCGAGCAGCTGACTGTTACCTTATCTGGAGCATAGTGTAAATTCAGAAACATTGTAAGCTGCCCAGTGACTTAAATCTTAAGAGGATGTGGAGAAACTGACTGCAGAAAAGTGGAGGACGAACATTACTGTAGGATGGAGGAAGGGAGGGGGTGGCGGTTGGTGTAAAAGCTGTTCTTTTGACAGAGTGTACGGAGGGGGGGGGGACCCGACACACAGTTGGATTTCAACTTCTTAACATGCTTCTGTAAATGTGCCTCAACCTGATCTGCAGGGATCAATTCACGAAGCTGCTGAGAACTGAAGAGCTGAAGCCAAAGCTCCATCAATTTCAGCAGGATATTGGGAAGCAATACTTCTCCCCTGTGGTTGCTCCCACCACCAACTGGCACCCCACGGTATCCTCCTCCTAAATCTGGAGGCTTTAGTTACTGGGCAACAGGGATAGTTTTATCTGCCGTGAATTTGTCAAACCTTAAAACCCATTTTTATTTTTTCTTGCTTGTGGCAGCAATCACTTGCCCATGTAATTGCAGAAATGCTAATGAAAGACTCTTGTCCAAGGCAGACCTGGCTCTTCAGATTTTTGCTTCTTCCCAGCCAGGCTGAGTACAGGCTGCTTGGATTACTAACCCAGTGACGTCTGGAGGGAAGCCACGGAGAGGCCACACTATTTTTATCAGACGCAGAGGCTGCTTGAAAAGTTGATGGTTCTGTCAGCCTTATATTGTACTGCAGTTGGAAGTAAGGAAGCCATTGGGACTGTTTTGCAAAAGAATGGGATTATATGACTATTTCTGGGATCAGAGTAATAGGGCAACATTTTGTTTTCACCCCAGAGCCAATCTGTTTCCTTTTTGGAGAATTCATGTAGCTTGTGGACAGCAGTCTATGAAATCCCTTTTCTTGTAGGGCAGAATCAAAGGGCCCGGTAGAAAACAAGGAAAAGTATAGCATGGTGCAGTGGTTAGAGTAGAGAACTAAGACAAAGAGAGTCGAGTTCAGATCCTCACTCAGGCATGAAGCGCACTGGATAACTTTGGGCCAGTCAAACACACAGCCAGGCTACCTCACAAGGTTGTTGTGAGGATAACATTGGAGGGGGAGTATCTTATATTCTCCTTTTAAGTGTTTGTGGGGGAGGGGAATGAGATATAAAGGAAAGAAACAGAGAAGCCACACCTCTTAACTTATTTGAAGAGAAAAAAAAAGATTTGTGACCATTGTACTATATGCCAATGCTAGCTATTCAAATGCTGTAATAGCCACCAGTTTGTAAAAAGTTCCTGCTTCTAAGCATGACCGCCTCCAGATAATACTCCCCTCCCTTGTAAGCTGATGCTATGCAAAGCACATGAACCTTGATTGAAGGGAAGAGGGAAATGGGCTTCTTTTGCCTTGTATATTTCCCTATCGCTACCCACCCATCTACCCAAACATTTAGGTGGGGAAGAGAAGGCAACATCCACAAATCACTCAAGCCAGATATCTTGCCTCTACCTGATCCAGTAGCTCCAAAGGTGAACCTGGGTGAGCTGCTTGACACTGCAAACATCCGCCTCAGTTCTTTCATCTGCAAAATGGGAACAAGGGTGAGTTTCCCCAGAAGGTTCCTGTTGAGGCACTGGACAGCGTTTTGCACATTTAACTTTGAGAGAGCCTCTATCACTCGTTATTATTTTTAATACTATTAATTGTGTTTCCCCTTGAAGCCTGTGGGGCCAACCTACTTCAAGGTGCTTCATTATACAGTCTTAGGCGAGCCCTGGATTTCCTCCTAGGTCTATCCCACGCAGACCCCAGGACATCCCTTCAAACCAAGCAAGGCGAACAGCGAGCCTGATGACAGCCGTCTTTCTCCGGGGCTCTAGAAGCCGCCGCCGCCGCCGCCGCCGCCGCCCTCAACCCCCAAATGCAAAGACGGTTCCCTAGCCTGCTAGGCTCCCTCCAATTTTGTGTATTGTTTCTAATCCTGTGAAAACCGCCTTTGGAAAGATATTTCTGCTTCTATTTTATAATAAAAGCGAGACATCCAGACTAGCGATGCAAGAAGTGAGAAGAGCTTCTGCGTTCTGAGTTCAGGTTTTCTCAGTGCTTTTAAAACAAGCCAATAACCGAGAGCCAATCGCGTCGGGTAGCACAGCCGGGCAGGGCTCTGGGGAAAAATGGTCGCAAGAAGCGGCGAAACACAAGAGCCAGAAGCTGTGCGCAGGGTGTGGCAAAATCGCCCGCGTTTCCGCACCTCAAAATAACTCAACTTCGATCCTACTAACCATCCTGACTTCTTTTTTATTTATTTTTTTGGACCCTTCCCTGCCCGCTCCTCTGACAGCGGCAGCAACCTTCAGTGGCAGGGCCATCTTTCCCAGAATTTTTCAAGGAAAATGAAAGTTTCCTGAGGAAACGGACCCGCATCGTTTAGGAAACGGAAGTTTCCCCAAACGAGGCGGGAAGAGGGCTTGGCTCTTTTTCCTGGGTTACCTCAGGTCGCTGCATAGCCATTTTGTTCTAGGCGCTTTACAAATTGAAACTCTCCACAACCTATTGGTCCCCAGATCTGCTTCCTTCCAAATTGCAAAGCAGAGACTTTGGTTATTTCTCTCGCCTCTCCTCCTGTGCTCACCACGGTTTTTTGTTTTGCAAATCCCAGTTTTAATGCTCAGGGTCCTAGTCCTCTTTGAGCAGGAGTGGAGGTGAACTTTATTTCTTTCCCTCCCCAATAAACCCTATTTTCTTACAATTTCTCTTGAAATTCCTGAAAGACAGAGAAAATGGTGATGAATAGCATTGGAGGGGGGTGGGGGAGATAGAGAAAATGGTGTAAAGGTGTAAATTCCAATGTTGGGAAAAAAGTGAGAAATATTTGAAGAAAAAAGTGGTCCAGGACAGAAAGGAGGTGGGGAGAGAAGAAAAGAGAAAGTATCAGGGTCCAGAGAACTGGCCAATTTAGGTAGTGAAAAATTCTAGTGGTTGCTCTTGCTAAGTTGGATACTGGAATCCAGAGACCAGCTGAACCAAATGAGAGTTAAATGAATAGTAGCTTCTTCAAGATCCAGTGATTTCATGGAACCATCTGATGTTATCTTGACAACAATACAAAAGTAATTCATAGCTTCTTCCAGGACATTTTCTCCACTTCAGTTCCCTTCCCCACATCCCAGATCACACGCCCAGGATTTCCTGATGATTTCGATCCAAGTAGCAAGCCAGTTTGGCATAGTAGTTAAAGTGCTGGCCTAAAAACCCGGAGGTTGTTGGTTCTATTCCCACTTTAGGCATGAAAAACCAGCTGGGTGACTTTGGTCCAGTTACTCTCTCTTAGCCCAACCACCTCACAGGATTGTTGTTGTGGGGAAAAACAGGAGTGGAAGGAGTATTATGTATGCTTGCTGCCTTGAGTTACTTATAAAGTAATAAAGGCAGGATAAAAATCTAATAAATAAATGAATACTAATCAAGTGTGACCTCTCTCAGCTTTTCCATACCAGCAAAAATATGCCAAAATTATTAGTGCAAGCCATATTTAACAATCCTGGAGAGGTTTACATAGATTCCATTAAGTTCAGTAGGATTGCCAATACAAATATGAAATTCCCATTTGATCAGTTGCTCATTTATTGAGCAAAATAAATGGTGCTTTTGTCATACATAGGCCATAAAGATCTGACCTCTATCTACTATCAGCCAAAATGTTTTCAGTCATGAATGAAATTTCCCCATGGATTACACATGAACCCTTTGAGTTGCCAAAGAAACTGGCAGGACTCATCCATTGGTGATCATGACAGTAAGATTGAAGATCAGTTTTTAATTTTTGAGTATGGTTTTGCTTTAGCACAGTTCCACAATCATTCCCTGAACTAGGATTGCTCCTGATCTTGCAAAAACAAGCTGGGCCTGTTCTGAAGAATAGTGTGGAATGGGGCCAAATATGATTTCCTTCCATTTCCCATTATATTTAATTGAAAGTAAATGTACTGTCCAGTCGGGGATTTTATTGTTTCCTCCTTTCTCAAACAAAACACTACAATTTGATAATGATTTCTAGAGATGTGGTAATGCCGGCATTGTTCAGACTGCATGCCTGAGCATCACCTGCTATGTTGCAAATATCTTGTAGTTTGTGGGTCACTGGGGTTTATTCAACAAATGCTGATTAAGCAAATTATTAAACACCATGGCCAGTGAATCTGATCAAGAATTGGTTGCAAGGTTGATCCAAACATCTTCCAAGTCGCAAAATGGGTATGTTCACTGAGAGGCAGTTCACCAGCATCATCCTCCCCCTTCCTGAATTAATGGTTTCTTCCTTCCCTTTCCTGGAGCTTGGAAAATATAAATGTTTCAAATGGGGAAGTGATAGATAAGGAGACTTTTAAAGTTTTCATGTTGCTTTTGGTGGAACCAGCTATATGTCAATTCCCGTGTAAGATTGAGAGTATCTTGGTGACGTTTCGATGAGGTCCCACTCGCCATCTTCAGGCTGGTGCTTTCGACTTCATGCTTGTGAATAAACGGGATGATATCTCCCGCCTACCAGACATCTGGAAACTAGCCCTTATCAACAAACAAGTCCCAGCTACGAAAACCAACACCGGACCCAAAACAACACATGATGCCACCACCAATCTCCCTCACCAGACTCAAACCCACACCCACCCCATAGACGAAAGGCAACCACCATCCAGAAACCAGGCCACAGCTGCATCATCAGCTGCCACACACCCCGACCCCAAAACCAAGCAAACTGACACACGCCATGAATACATAGCCAGGTCTCAAAATCGGAGCCAAACTAAAACCCGGAACGTCACATCACAGCCACCCTCTCAGGATATCACATCATGGAACTCAGGAGGTTACACCACAAAACCTCAGGATGTTACAACACAGCCAACGACCCAGGAGATTACAGCACAAGACCCAGGATGTCACAACAATAGAACTCAGAAGGTCATCACACGACCCATTACCCAGGTCGTTACAACACAGGAGGTTGATAGACACACAGCCAATACCTCAGCCACACATGTTCTTACCAAAAAGCCAGCCAATCTGCAAACATCAACTCCATCAACCAATCCATCAGCCAACCTCCCCACCAGTATTTAGAGAGAGACGGCAGCTCCGATCACGCTTTGCTCGCACAAGCAGGAAGCCAAAAGCACCAGCCTGAAGATGGTGAGTGGGACCTCGTCAAAACATCACCAAGATACTCTCAATCTTACACAGGAAAAGACCTGAACATGCCAAGACCTGCATACATCTTAACAACCTATACCCCAAAATACAATTCACCATGGAAACAGAAACCAACAACCAACTTCCCTTCCTGGACGTCCTAGTTTACAAAAAAACCAATGGCTCCCTAGGACACACCATCTTCCAGAAAAACACACACACCAACCGCTACCTAAATGCACAATCCCATCACCACCCTGCACAGATCAACTCCATAGCCAAGACCCTCATCTCCAGAACCAAACGCCTAGCTGACAAAGACCACCTGAGAACAGAACTACACACCCTCACTAACATATTAATTTCCAACAGATTCCAAAGAAACACAATTACCAACCTAATCCAAAGAGAGATACCCCCAAAAAAGCAAGACACAGAACAAGACAACGGTATCGCACTCCTCCCCTACATCAAAGGCACCACAGACAAAATCAGCAAAATTCTCCACAAACACAATATCAGGACAGCCTTCAGCACTTACCAAAAAATAGCCAACATCCTAAGAAACCCCAAAGACAAGATCCAGCTAGAAAACCAAGGAGTTTATGAAATACATTGCAGAACACAAAAACGCAGTCAGAAAAGAAGAAAAAACTTCCTCCCTCTTCCAGCACCTTAAAGCCACAGGACATGAAATTAATTTAGAAGGAACCAAATTAATATCCAACAATGAACACTCCAGCAAGAGATAATCAGGGAAGCCATCGAAATAGAGAAACACCCCCATAACATGAATAAATGGGATGATACCTTCCTCCTACCAGACATCTGGAAACTTGCCCTCACCAACAAATGAGTCCCAGCCACGAAAACCAACACCAGACCCAAAACAACACAGGACACCACCTCCAATCCCCCTCATCAGACCCAGGCCCAAACCCATCCTATAAACAAAGGACAACCACCATCCAGAAACCAGACCATGGCTGCTTTGCCAGCTGTCGCACCCCCCAACCCCAAAACCAAACAAGCTGACACACGCCAAGAACACAGACCCAGACCCCAAACTCGAAGCCAGATCAAAACCCAGAATGCTACATCACAGCCACCCGCTCAGGATATCACATCAGAAAACTCAGGAAATTACACCACAAGAACTCAAGAAGTTGCAACACAGCAAACGATCCAGGAAATCACAGCACAAGACCAAGGATACCACAACAATAAAACTCACAAGGTCATCACCCAGCCCATTTCCCAAGCCGTTACAACAGGAGGCTAATGGAAAAGAGATCAAAACACAAATGACCCAGGAGATTACAATGCAAGACCCAGGATACCACAACAAAAGAACTCGCAAGGCCATCACACAACCCATTACCCAAGCTGTTAAAACACGGGAGGCTAATGGAAAAAAGATCACTACAAAACAAATGACCCAGGAGATTACAGCACAAGATCCAGGATATCTCCACAACAAAATTCACAAGGCCATCACACAGCCCATTATACCAACATCAACTCCATCAACCAATCAAGAGGCAGCAGTGCAGCCAACCAGCCCAGCACACCAGCCCCCACCACCAGTATTTATAGAGAGACGGCAGCTCCGATCACACACTGCTTGCATTGACACGAAGCCAAAAGCACCAGCCTGAGGATGGCGAGTGGGACCTCGCCGAAACGTCGCCAAGATACTCTTAATCTTACATGGGAAAAGATCCAAACACACCTAGACCTACACACACACACACACACATATATGTGTGTGTGTGTGTGTGTGTGTGTGTGTGTGTCGCTCAATAATCAAAGGTTTCTTTTTTATGCACATATATTTTATAAGTTTTTTAATATAGTAAAAATATACAAAACAAGAGCAAAGATAGAAAATAAGTAACAAAGACAAAAAATTTAAAAAGAAAAAATGCATATAGTTATGCCTCTGCCCTTCTTTCTGTTGAGTGGTTACCATCTTAAATTTTCCCCAATCTCTTTATTCCTTTTTAATCTCAATGTCATCAATACATTTTTTCTTCTTCTTTCAACTGAAATTTATATAAGGTTTCCAG